TGTACTATATGTTAGAATTTAGGAGGAGAATAAGGTTTTTGAAATCAATAAGTAATGTGGATCTTTCTGAAGGATTGTGTGAACACTTTCTGAATATGATAAGTAACTTGGATATTTCAACTCTATGTTTGGGTTACATGAAATCCAAATTATGGGGATAATCCTTGAAGGAAAAAAATATCAAATCATGAAACTGATATGAGACCATGAACTAGGGTTTTTATAAAATTCAAATTACGTACAATGATTAGTAAGGACAAGAACTAGTTAATATTAAATATTATTTTGTTAAGGAAGTATATGGAAAATATTATTTTCAGATAATATTTTCTAATAATTTCCTTCAAACCCTCATCCCTTATTTATGGCATAAAATCAACATTTAATGTTGATCGATGATTATCTTTAGTAATCAAAGGAATTTGAATTCTATGAAAACCCTAATTCGTAGTCTCATATTAGTGCGTTGATTTGAGATTGTTCTTTGAAGGATTATCCCGATAATTTCGCTTTCATGTAACCCATGCATGTATGTCATACTCGGAAACTGTTCATTATGGTCAAAATATCATATTCGAAAAATATTCACACAATTCTTCAAGAAGATCCAAGCTACTTATCGGTTTTAGAAACATTCTCTTCCTCTTAAATTCTAAAAACCAAATCTTATATTTGTTTCGATTTTCTAAAATAATGAGTGAGCTAGTGAAATAGATGACTTCTAGGTTCGATAAGTTGGAGAAGTTCCAAGGAAATGACTTTCATCACTGGCAAAAGAAGATTCTTTTTCTACTGACTACTCTGAAGGTGGTTTATATTCTAAACACTCCTACATCAAAATTAGAATAAGATGAAATTGTGGAGCAAACTTAATGTCGGTGTAAGTGAGAGAATGATGATTACCTCTATAGAGGTTGCATTCTTAATGGTATGTCTGATCCTCTATTTGATATCTACCAAAACACAGAGAATACAAAGAAATTATGGAATACTCTGTTGGAAAAGAATGTCCAATGTCATTAACTGATTGCTAATATTTATAATAGACTAATAGTAGTAGGGTCATTTTGGGTTGCCCTCATGACTCAATTAAACAATAATGAATAAGGATAAAATAAGTTGTTAATGTATTATGAAATAACAAATTAATTGGAAATTATTTTGGAATTAATCAAATAGTTTTAATTAATTAGATGAACTGAATATTAATTAATTCATTAGTAGTTAATTAGAATATTCCAGAAACCTCCGGGATATGGTAGGGGATGAATTTTAAAAGGATAATGATAACCCTTATTAATTTTTAAGTTGCTTAATAATTAAGCAACAGAAGCCTATAAATAGGGAGCTAGAGATCAAACCCTAGGTGCTCCTAACTCATAAATTTCATTCTCCCCCTTCCTTCACCTCTCATGGGACGGAAATTACAACCCTTTGGAATTTTCGTTCCAAGCCTCCCCTCTCCTAAACTTCATATTTGCTAGTTGGTGTCTTGGGTGTGATGATTCCACTAGAGAGATTCTTGGTTTGGGTCTTTATCATCCTTGCAAAGTGGTTGTGACAAGATTTCGATCAAGGAATCAAGAAGGTCAAGAGATTGGTATTTTTCAAGTTTTAAAGTAGATTGCTATAATAGTAAAACTTGGATCCATATGATGCATGTGCACATATGGTTTAAATGTTTTTCTGCTACGAAAAATATTGTGTATAGAATGCAACAATCCCTAACATACCATTGAGTCTAAGTATATCGTTTGGGATGCTTCTAGCAAGAACTTTTGTTAAGCAATTTTAACTACTATAAAGTGGCATACTCAAGGCTTGTTATGGAATAGTACAATGAAATTCTTCGCGTTTTGGGTCAACGCACTCCACACAACATGAAAATAGACGAGTTCATTGTTGTATCGATATGATTGACAAGTTACCACCATCTTTAAAGGACTTTAAGCATACTTTAAAACATCAAAAGGAAGAGTTGTCTCATGATACAACTTCGGTGTCACATACAAATTGAGGAATCACTCTTTGTTCATGAATGTAACAAAAATCTAATGATGTGAAAATGAATAAGAATCATCAAAACCACAATGGAAAATGCATTAAACGCGAGTATGATGGTCGTAACAAACCAAATAAGAAACATTATTTTCCTCCCAAATTCTAACATTATAATAAAGTGATAAAATTATCTAAAATGACTATGATATTATTCTAACATTATAATAAAGTGATAAAATTATCTAAAATGATTACGATACTACTTTGTGATTCTTAATTTGGACTCTTAGACCATAAAGATTGGAGGGTTGTTGTGATCGACTTTGTGAGCGACACCCTCCCTAATAATACTCCCAAATATAATATATTCCCTAATAATACTCCCAAATATAATATATTTAACATTTTAAGGTATAGTTTTTGTTTTTGATTTGTAAGATTAACTAAAATATAAAATAAAAAATATATTTAAATAATTGAAATCGGTCATTAAATTTTAACTCCGGCCCTATTTGTTTGATTAAACTAGTTCATAGGTTCGATCCGTTAATTAAACATGTTCATAATCTTATCTCAACCAATTGTATAAAATCGATTTGTGTTTTAATGTTTTATTCTATTATTGAATTATTTCGATATCATATATTATTATTATTATTATTATTATTATTATTATTATTATTATTATTATTATTATTATTATTATTTATAATGAGAGGTCTAATATTTAAATTTCCATATAGAGTTAGGATTCAAGGATCCGTTAAGGCAAGGCAACCACTTGAGTATTGCATTGGAACAGTGGAACTTAGCACGAGTCTAAATCAAATTACTTTAAGCAAAGCACCTAGGCTTTTTAATAAAAATTCTAATTTTAATTTGTATTACGAATTAATTAATTAATTAATACCATTATAAGATAGTATTGGTATTTTTTTTTTTTTTTTTTTGAACCGTAGAAAAGTAAATATATAAAATACACCGACTAGCAAGATGCTAGCAAAAGATCAATACAAAGTACAAGTATCAAAAAGAAAACAACATCAAGTATTCCAACTTTAAAGCCTTAAACTATCCCTATGCTTAATACATACTAAGTTGGATTTCATCCCACTCTTCGTCGTGTTGCATATTAACTTCTTAAATATAACCAAAATTTGGACTTTCTAGATCATCTATATAACCGAAAAATTAAACTCAACACGCCTTTCGTTTCCCAAACCTTCAAAACCCATCTTGAAATAAGCTCGTCAATATTCAAAGGAGGGGCCACGAGGAGCCCACTACATAAGTGAAACCAACGCAACACATGTATTTGTTTACCAAAATACTTAAACATATGGTTAATAATGAAAAATAAAACGAATATTAATAACACATGTATTTGTTTACCAAAATACTTAAACATATGGTTAATAATGAAAAATAAAACGAATATTAATAGTTTTTAATAGTTGTTGATTGAGTAGCACTCAACATCTTATGATACCTAATAACGTGCATATTAAAGACTACTACACCGAATGAAAGGTTTTCAATTGTGGTATCAAACAGACTGAATCTTACCGAGTTAGAACTAATAGCGGTAACCAGTGTTCTAAAAGGCGCGCCATGGCGTGAGGCGTGGCTTCGACGTTACGAAAAGCCTCATAACGTTAGTGTTAGGCGTGATGTGTGACAAGACGCGATATGGTGCGCCATGACGCGTTATGACTTGTTATGGCGCGCGTTTTTTCGTTTGAGACACAGTTTTTTGCTATTTATTATGTTTTTTCTAATCGGAGATACAAGTATTTTGGTTTTTGTTAACTTTTGTTATTAGTTATTGAACTAATATTGCTAAAAGTAGTTATATTTAATAAAGATTTATATTTATGTGATAATATAATTTTAAATTAATACAAAATTCTCTCCTTACATCGCGCTTTGAAAAACGCCATGTCTCGTTAAGCTTGAGGTTTGACCTTGCCCCCACGCCACGTCACGCCTTACGTCATTTAGAACCTTGGCGGTAACAAGTAACGGATAAATGATAGCTGGTAGTCGGCAGTTGACAGACCTTTGTTAAATGTTAAATGATATAGCTTTTATACTTAGAGCGTTTTGTTTAACTGAACACTAGAAGCTTGTAGTGTCAAATGATATTTTTTATTCAAAAAAGAACATTTATCAAACAATAGAAGCCGGAAGTTTTCTAAGCATTATGTTTTGAACATAAAAGTAAACCGCCACAGAAAACAAAAAAAGTACAAATTTTTTTTTTTTTTTTTTTAAACTTCACGAAACTTATAGGTTGTGAAATCATATTTATTTTTTAACCTATATTTAATCACTAGTTGAGTTTTTGTGGCTGTAGTTTCATTATATCGTGCCTGTTTGTTGTTTTTTCTTTTATGCTGTGTTTATCAAGATTATCCTGAATATTTAACTAAGACCTAAGGAATATCAACGAGTATAAGCCATAAAAAAAACTTAAATTTTTTATAACAAAACTGCAATAAAATTCCCTTAGGGTATATAGTTTTAGAATTAATGTTAAAAAATATAATAATAATTTTAAAATTAATGCTAACAAATTTGTATGATAACCTTATAATTAAAGATATTCGGTTGTATAAAATAACAATTGACTTCTAGTATGCCGAGTTTCTTATTTTATATTGAGTTTAAAATCACGTCCTATATAAAAAAAAAATAACTAGAAATACGTAATTTTGCATGGATTTAACATACATCACCAATACCAAAAAGAAGATCGGTAACATATTTTGTTCATTTGCCTAAATTTCATAAATTACTAACATATTAAACACCATATAAAAGTTATTAATACAATAACTACACAAATTAACATTATAATATAAAGTAATTTATTGAGTAAAATAAAACTAACTTAAATATGATTTATAAAAATTATTAAACCGATAAGCATGGAGGCTTTCAAGAAATTTTCCCTATAAAATCCCATCCATGCATGCCATATAACCCCCACCAACAATCCTACATCAAACATGACCAACTCACACCAAAAGGGCTCGACCCTAGCCATGACCTTGGCCTTGCTCATGCTTCTAGTAGCCATGGCCTCCCGAGCCACTTCACGCACCCTCAACGACCCAACCATGATAGCCAGACACGAGCAGTGGATGGCTCATCACGGGCATATCTATACAGATGAAAATGAAAAACAGTTACGTTTTCAAATATTTAAAAACAACGTCGCCTATATTGAGGCACATAATGCGCGTTTAGACCAAAGTTACACACTTGAAGTCAATAAATTCGCTGATTTAACCAATGACGAGTTTCGCGCTTCACGTAACGGTTATAAAAAACAACCAGATTCAGATTCACGTGTGGTGTCCGGTTTATTTCGTTACGCGAATGTAAGTGCGGTACCAAATGAAGTTGATTGGCGAAAAGAAGGCGCGGTAACACCCGTTAAGGACCAAGGCAATTGCGGTAAATTTCTTTTTTGTCAAATATGTGCAATACATACTACACAACACAAGATATACATACTACATACTATGATACCACCATATTAGATATATATATATATATATATATATATATATATATATATATATATATATATATATATATATATATATATATATATATATATATATATATATATATATATATATATAGATTGTCCTTTTTAGTTTCCTCAATAGAAAGAGCCATTAAGTATATTTATTGATGCATTTTTATTGGAAACAGGATGTTGTTGGGCCTTTTCGGCGGTGGCAGCCATGGAAGGAATTAACAAGCTTGAAAATGGGAAACTGGTGTCGTTGTCGGAGCAAGAACTAGTTGACTGTGATATCGATGGCATTGATCAAGGTTGTGAAGGAGGTCTAATGGAGAACGCTTTCCAGTTTATTGAAAAACGAAAGGGTCTAGCGGCGGAATCTGTCTATCCATATACCGGAGAAGATGGGATGTGCAACACCAAGAAAGCAGCCATTCCGGCGGCCAAAATCTCCGGCCACGAGAAAGTTCCGGCCAACAACGAAAAAGCTCTGTTGCAAGTAAGTAATATATTTACTACCAGAAGAATTTACAAACTTGATTTAATATATAATATTCTTAAATATTTACTAATAAGACAAAGGAGAAACTTATGGAATAAAAATACACGTACCGACGCATAGTTTCATTATGTTGTGGATGTTTCTAATACGTAAATATGTGAAATTGAAAAATTGACATTTTTGGCAAAATATGTATTTTCATAGAATCTTGAATTAGAGGGTGTTTGAGACATGGATTTGCAAATTGATTTACAAAGTTTCAAGAATCAATAGAATAGTAATAATAAAATAATAAATAAATAATAATAAATAATAAATAAATATTTTTTTTTATTACATGTTACATTTTCATTCAATTTATTTTATGGTTATTTTGAATTAACTTTTTTTTACATGTTATTTTATGCATTTTTCTATTTTAATAAATTACATATAATATTTTAATGTAATAATTACAATAATTATAGTAATAAATAAATATCAATTTCATTAATGGATTTACCTTCTTATTTCAAAATAACCAAATTAAAGTTTATTAGTTTATTTTGTTTAATTATTTAAATTTAAAAGATAAATAAAATCAATTTTAATAATTAATTATTTTTCTTATTTTCGTATAAATTCAAAGTTTTTAAATATTTAGACATTTCTATTTAATTTTTTTTAATTAATCCATATAATACATGAATCTTACATCTAATTCCAGTATATATATCAACTTGCTCTTTATTCACATCATATTTTATTATTTGGGCATTAAAAATAAGATAGGTAGAATTATAGGTTTTTTTTTTTAATGAATTTAAATCTTAATAATAGTTTTTTGTATCACTTAATATCCAAAGATTTTTTTTTTCTCTAGATGTCTTACTTTTAACGTAACAATTTTACTTATGCAGGCTGTAGCAAACCAACCTGTTTCGATTGCCATTGATGCAAGTGGATATGAGTTCCAGTTTTATTCGAGTGGGGTTTTTACTGGAAGTTGTGGAACTGAACTTGACCATGCTATAACTGCAGTTGGATATGGGGCTACTATGGATGGGACCAAATATTGGCTAATGAAGAATTCATGGGGTACATCATGGGGCGAGAACGGGTATATACGAATAAAAAGAGATAGCTTGGCGAAAGAAGGATTGTGTGGTATCGCCATGGATCCTTCTTATCCCGTTGTTTGAAAAGCATGAAGTATTTAGACAAAGACGTTGATATTTAAGTGTGTATATGTCATTTATATTGAACTTATGTTAAAGTTACATTGATTAAATGTGTATTTATATCGGTCAATCAAAATGTATATAAACCTTGTAAAGATCAAAATATATAAACCTTGTAAAGTTAAAAGAATTTAATGTGATTATATATAAGGTTGCTTTTGTTTTGGTTTTTGTCATTTGACATAAAGTTAAAAGAATTTAATGTGATTATATATATATAAGGTTGCTTTTGTTTTGGTTTTTGTCATTTGACAATCTCATTCTATAAAATTTATACTATAAGATTTTCGTGGCTCCAATCTCATTCTATAAAACTTATACTATAAGACTTTCGTGCCTCTAGGACATGTTGGAAGTTATTAGGAAGGTAGTTAGTGTGAAGCAGTCAACTTTCGTGAAAAGCTATAAAATTCTAAACAACGGATGCGTCACACGATTGGCTCATGAAGAACTCACGGGGTACATTGTGGGGAGAGAAAGGGTATCTACAAATAAAAAGAGATGTCTTGACCAAAGAAAGACCATGTGTTATTACCGAGCATACTCCATATTTTCTTGTTTGAAAAGAATTAATAAGGTTTCAAACAAAGGCGTTAACATTTAAGCATGCATATGTCATCTAAATTCATCAAATCATATTCAAGTTACATTATTTTTGTATCATTTGAATAAAAATGCTTGCAAACTTGTATACTTTAAAATAAGTTAATGTGATTATATATACATAAGGTTGTTTCTGTTTTTGTTGCTTGAAATCACTTCCTAGAATACTGATACTTCCTTTGTAAAGTATTTCTCGTTTTAAAAACAATGTATTTCTCGTTTTTTTATTGATGATAAAAGCATGATTAATTTCGTTTTTTATTGATGATAAAAGCATGATTAATTTCACTTGCCTTTATGCTACTTTCACTTTAAAAAGGAAGATAAGTCCTAACTCTTAAATAACTTTGTCACATTCCTTAAATAAAAACAAAAACGGTCAGAAAACTTTCACACTACTTTAAAACTAATTAAAGAAATATATACTTATTTATGTGTATAACAGATAATTCCCCTTGAATAATTCGTCTGTATTAACGAGTGTATTAAACAGGCTGGTCTAATTTAAATTTATTCTGACATCTAATTCTACCAATATGCATGATAAAATTTGAACCCTGACCTCACATCACACAGTGATAATATAATATTGTTGGTTTGAAACAAAAAAGATAAATATAAAAGATATAAAGAAAAACTAGCCAAAAATACAAAATTTAAAATCAAAATCATATATTTATCTCTCGAATCGTTCTACTTTTATTCCTAAAGTTATTCTCATTAGGATTTAAAGAAAATAGAAAATAATATAAAAATATACATTGCTTTGTTTCTCCCTCAATCCGAAATTGGACTCTAAAAAGGTCAAAACTTCATAGACTAGCTGAAGTCTTCTCGATTTACGTTTCTCATACTTCATTTCCCCTCCATATTTTCTAGAATCTGATTGATTATCGAAGTTTCATCGGTACAGTTCGTCTCCAATCCAGTTCACGCGAATCAGGTAAAATTTTCATCATCTTTGATGTTTAAAATGCAATTTTAGAACCCTAACATTAGCTCCACAGTCGAGGGTAGTGTGTTATTAGGGATTTGTAATTATTTAGATAAGTCGAGATGTAATTGACGTTACATATCTTCATCTTGTTATTTGTCTTGCGATTTCGATTGACAATTTTCTGAATATGTCTTTGAAAATATAGTTCTCGCTGTGTTGATCGACTCTCTGCTATTTTTCGTCGAAACAAATTGTATAGTATAATCCAATCAGACTCCGTAGTATTCAACATTAAATTCATCCAACTACATCATGATTTCTACGAATCACTATGAAACAAAGCTGTTGGTGTTAATTACAAAATTTTATATTGTTTAATTATCGCCATAGATTGTTGGCTAACTTGGAATTATAGAATTGGCAGCTGGAGTAAGACGCTATAGATCATATCAGCAAACATGGCGGGAACTGAGAGTGGGCCTATTCTGCAATTTGCACCCTTTCAGAGTTCTGTGGATGCCGGTTTTTGGCATGAATTATCTTCGTTGAAACTCAACAAATTAAAAACCGATGAATCTCCAATCCCAATAACTGGTATGTTGCTTTATCTTCTAGTCTTTTCCCATGTATTGTAATATTAATGTTGATGAAGTTTTTACCATATTTCAATACTTGAAACAAGTCAACATGCTAATATTGCTTGTATTAATGATATCCTTGTAGGTTTTTACACACCTTGCTCCAATTCTCAAGTATCAAGCCATCTAACTCTGCTTACTGAATCCTTGCCAACTGACCCAACTGATGAACAACAAGCCAAAACAAGTCATGGGAACAGAAACAAATGCTCTGTGCCTGGCATTCTTTACAACACAAACACATTAGAAGGGTATCATGCTCTAGATAAACAGGCTTTGTTAAAGGCTGAAGCAAAGAAGGTATGATCAAACACAATTTTGTTCTTTTGTTAAAACTCTATTTAGTAATCCATTTTTCAGTTATACATGAATGTAATATCAAACTCTTGAATGCCAGATTTGGGATGATATTCGATCTGGAAAAGCAGAGGAGGACAGTTCTGTCCTTTCAAGGTTCCTTCTTATATCATTTGCAGACCTCAAGAAATTTAACTTCTATTACTGGTTTGCTTTTCCTGGTGTTGTTCTTGATCCTCCAGCAACTTTGGTTGATTTGAAGCCAGCATCAAAATGGTTCACCCCAAAAGAGGTTTGACCATATATACCCATTTCCCTTTGTAAATCAACTTTGTTTTTTTTATTACTTAAAGATGTAGCATTGTTCTTTCATAACATACAGGCTGAATCTGTGTCTGCATCCTGTAATGAGTGGCGTATGTCAAGTTCAACAGCAGGTAGACTCATTTAGACTTTCTTTTTTTGCCACCCTGACTTGTTCTTAATATCAAAATACTGAAGACATGATTTTGTAGGTGTTCCATTCTTTTTAGTTTCCATTTCTTCAAATTCGCAAGCTACTATTAGACCTCTAAAGGACTTTGAAGCTTGTCAACATGAAGGCCATAAGGTGAACACAGTCACACATCTATCTTTCTAAAAGACGTAAATGCCCTTTTAGTCCTCTTCTAAAAGGGTATTTTTTTTTTCGGTGACAGATGCTCTTTGGTTTCTATGATCCTAGTCATCTTCCAAACAACCCTGGATGGCCTCTTCGCAACTTTCTTGTCTTCATTTCTGCAAAATGGAACCTGAAAAAGATTCAGTTTTTATGTTATCGTGAGAACCATGGGTTTGCTGATTTGGGTTTATCCCTTGTTGGTGAAGCTCTGATCCAACCTTCACAAGGTAGATCAGCCAAAATTGGGTAACAAGTCAACTCTTTTAAAAGTCAAATTCTTGACTCTTATAATCTCCAAGTGTTTCTTGTAAAATGAAATGTCTTTTTTACTTTTATTTAAATCAGCATGGCAAGATCAAGACCATGTGCCTAATGCAGTTGGATGGGAACTGAATAAAGGGAAAAGATCATCTAGATGCATTAACCTATCTACTTCCATGGACCCCACTAGGTATATTGGGTGGTGTAGTCTGTATTGTGTTTCTTATGTGTTGTTTTTTTAATTTTAATATAAGTGATTTAAATTTTTACAGGATGGCTATATCGGCTGCAGATCTGAATCTAAAACTGATGATGTGGCGAGCACTGCCATCTTTGAACTTGACCATGTTGTCTACCACCAAGTGCCTTCTGTTGGGAGCCGGGACCCTTGGATGCCAGGTGGCACGCATGCTTATGGTGAGTCTTTCCATTTCTAAAAATTACAACAAGGGCATAATGGTAATTTACAATTGGTGTGTATCTGAAGGCATGGGGTGTGCGAAAAATAACATTGGTGGATAGTGGTAAAGTGGCCATGTCAAATCCATTAAGACAATCCCTATACACCTTGGAAGATTGTCTCAATGGTGGTGATTTCAAAGCCTTGGCAGCTGTTAAAAGTCTCAAGCGAATTTTTCCAGCTGTGGTAATTAGTTTAATCTCTTCTTTTTGAAAACTATATTAATATTATTATTATTATTTACTTTTGATATTTGTTTGTAGGAAGCAGAGGGGGTAGTGATGGCAATACCTATGCCTGGGCATCCAGTTGCTAGACAAGAAGAGGAAAAAGTGATTGATGACTGCAAACGTCTTTGTGATTTAATCGAGTCTCATGATGCTGTTTTTTTGCTGACTGATACACGCGAAAGTAGGTGGCTTCCAACTCTTTTATGTGCCAATGCTAATAAGGTTAGTCTTGTACTTTTCTGCTTCCCTGTTGTACTTACTTTATTATTCTAATACTGATGCATTTGGATTCGACAGTTTCCTACCATTATGCCCTTGCCAAATGGCATTTATAGTTTTAGTTTAATGTTTCAGGTTACAATTACGGGGGCATTGGGGTTTGATAGTTTCTTGGTAATGCGCCATGGTGCGGGCCCACTACTCAACAGAAATACATCATCAAAAGCCGAGACTGAGACTGTTGTTGGCTCTTCTTTATCTGCTGGTGTTGAAGAAATGTCACTCGGACAGAAAGATAGCAAGCCGAGACTCGGTTGTTACTTTTGTAATGACGTTGTTGCCCCTGTGGATGTATAACATTTACTTTCCTCCTTTCCTTTTTAACTCTTATTTTAATAGATCATAAAACTGAGATTTCATTTTTCTGATTTTTAAAATGCAGTCAACAGCTAACCGCACTTTGGACCAACAATGCACGGTGACACGCCCTGGACTTGCCCCTATCGCATCCGCCCTTGCGGTTGAACTTTTGGTTGGGATTTTGCATCATCCTCATGGGTAAGGGTATTTTCGGAACAAAACCAAAACATATTCCTTTTATTTTTTAATTTTTAAAATTTTGGTGCATGTATTTTTGTACAGGATATCAGCAAAAGCTGAATTTGGAAACTCTTTGGATAGTTTAAACAGCGAACAAGCTCTTGGGATATTACCACATCAGATCCGTGGGGCCCTCTCGCAGTTTTCTCAAATGATACTTGTGGGCCATTCCTCAAATAGTTGCACTGCTTGTTGCCCGATTGTAAGTATAATTTTCACAATTTTACAATGTATAAAAATACAATAAAGA